CCCCCCCCCCCGCGCGCAGGAGGCAGAAGCGGCCGGGAAGCGGAGCAACGCGGCCTCTTTCGGCGAAACCGCCGCCGCCGCCACCAAGGGCGTGTCGGAGGCTGTGTCTCGCTTCTCCGGAGAACACGCGAAGGGCTGCGGCAACCTCAAAGGCTTCCTCTCCAGGGCGGAGGAGGCGGCGAAGGCGGCATCGTGGGGATTGTCGGCGGCAGCGGCGGAGGCTCTCAAGCAGGTGACTGGGAATAGAACGGGCGGCCTGATGTTTTGGCCGTCCTGGTGGTTGATGGTGGCGGTGGCGGAACCACTTTAGATGGCTCCACCCACTGTAAAGACTCGTGCACATCCCTTTCGACTGTTTCTCGTGTTGGGTTCTCTGGAAGACAGTAGTACACTCAACGCCGCTTCAGACTTTTTCCGTATGTTCCGCAGTACTGTGTGCGCCTGCTACCCCCCACCAGAGAGTGCAATGCATCAACCTCTCAACCTCTCAAGCTGTAGACTCTGTACAGCTGTAACACCGCCAACTGTCGTGAGGAGACAGCCACTGAGTCGTGTCGGTGTTTTCCGTCGCTGTCTGGTGTTTCGTGGGGAAAAAAATAATAAAATGAAAGGTGGACCTGAAGTGCAAGGAACTGGCCGAAGGGGTTTCGACTGGAGCGGCGTCTACCGAGGACCTTGTAACCCTCGCTTCGGTCGCTCTCGAGGGTGCGCTGGCCGAGCAAAAGGGCGCAATCGACGCCTGGAGCGAGCAGGTGCGAGGAGAAGTGAGGATAGATGCGCGTGGTCTCGGATTGCGTGGGACGCAGTTCGCTCAAGGGTACTGGACCGCGACAGCCAATGGGGAAAAAATGTTTCGGGAACCAAAGACGGATGGATGATGCAAGGAAGAGGTAGAGCGATAGGGATCGCAAGCCGATTGGGGAGAAGCGTTTCGAGAAAGAAACCTGGATGGATAGATGATGCATTGAAGAAAAGATTTATGGGGGTGGCAAGCCAAGGCAGACCTCCATGCTGCGGCGCCGGTGCAACACTCGTACATCAGCAGTGTCGGCGGTTAGCGATGTTGTGCGCTTGCTGCCCGAACGTGGTAGGTACAGTACGCTATCTGTTTTCTGCCAGGCACTCATGCAGAATATACAGAGTAGGGTGGCCGATTCAGCGACATGCCTGTTTAGCGACATGTCCTATGCACCCGGACCAATAGCAGCCTGTATACTGGCAATAGCGAACTGCCCTGAATAGCGACCAGATTCACTCCGGACAGACACTGGAGGTCACAAAACCGGGCCCCACCACTACGGCTGTATTTTTTTTTTTTTGTCTCCCATCATTGGATTATGTCGTCTGCTCCTCTGGCCCCTATCCTCCACTTCTACCAGCTAGACGACCCAACCGGGGTCACATAGGAGGGGGAGGTTGGACCCTCCTGCGGTTCCTGCCTGAGATATTTTTATCGCGAGAAGGGTACAGCAATCCCTTCCCTCGCGACTTATGAAGTCGATCAAGTTTACTCACAACGAGCTTTGCAGCGCGTCGCTGCCAACGGAAACCAGGATTTAACTAGCGAGAAACAACTCACTCTGTCGGGACTCGAACCCATAACCTGGCCCTAAGTAGGCTGCGAGGCTACCCACTAGACCACCGGGGCGACCGGTACTTGTACCGTACTGTACCGTAGCGTTTTGTTTTGTTTTCTCTTGCGTTGTTTGTCTCGCTCCTGCGCCGGACTGATTTCTGCCAGCCTTCAGGATCCAAGCTTTCCGGACCCCATCACACATGCACACAGCGCCTTGGTTGTTATCGCCCTGTAGTCACCAATTGTTTGGAGTGGCTGTCTTTTTGTTTCCTCGGAAAGCACGGGGATTGGAGGCTTTCCCGTAGAACATTCCAGAGAACGGTTTTTACATTGTGGGTGTCGTTCCAGTTCTGGACCTTAGCCCTCGCATCTTTCGGTATTTCTGGGCGCATCAGCCTGTGTCACGCAGTTTTTTTTTTTTTTCTGCCTTCGTTCTGCGGTACATGTCTTGATTTTCGTCGCGAGAATGATTCAGCCGGTCCTCGCCCTGTCAAAAATTGATAATTGAAGCAATGGCAAAAAGTTCATCCGGTGCTGGTGTTGTTTTATCGGGCTCGTTGCCGAGTCTCATGATGCCATCTTATTCGATATGAGTGTGTAAATGTATTTGACTTTTTTTTGTGTGGTTTTGCTTCAACAGATGGCGGCGTCGCTGGAAGACCTGCGCAGCGGCCTGGAGAGCCACGAGGGTGGTCTGTCTTCGCTTTGCGAGGACGTGGAGCGCCGGTCGGAAGAGGCTAGCAAGGAGATGGCTGACTTCAAGGAGAAGGTGCGTGAACAGCAGTACAATATTCGGAGCGTTTTGTTTTGGCAACCGTCTCTTCATTGGGGGGGGTGTTGTCTTGCTTGTTTCTTGTGGAATTATGTAGTGAGGCGTTTCTTGGTGGAGGGTGGTCGAACCTTGTTGCTTGTCCTTGCCTTCTGACGGAATGGTTAAGGCTTTGCTGACAATGCAGAGCGAACTAAATTTACAGGTTTGTTGTGTCGAACAATGGTACCTTCCCAACCCGCTGTAGCCTGGGCATGCGAGGTCAACGGTCTAACGACTACGGCATGCATGCATTTTCGTGGGTACACCCCCCTCTCAATCCTTTCTTGTGCGCGCGAAGTGTGCTAGCGAGCTGGCGGAGGTGCGCAGCTGGGCCGACGACCGCATCGCGGCGCAGACTGCGCAGATGGAGTTGCAGAGCGAGGAGGCTAAGGTGGTAGCGGCCAGGTCTAAGGAGGAGACCAAGGTGGAGGTCGCTCAGCTCATGGAGGTATGGAGGAGGCGTTTTTCTTAGGTGTCGGGGGAGGGGGAGGCGTGTCGGGGAATCGGGGCGAGTTGCGTTGGAATATCGGCGGTACAGCAGTAGCGTTTGCCGAGCCCTACACACACACACACGATATGCTGGGGGATTCCGAGAAGTTGAAAGGGTGAAGCTGGGTGAGTCGTTTCGCAAACGCTGGCCGCACCGCTGCTGCTCTACTATTTGGCAAGGAACCCTCTTCGGCAAGAAATCCAGTTCTTTGACGTCTTGACGCCTTTCCTTTTTTTCGCGCTCTACTTGCGGTGGCTTCAAAGAGCGCGCGCGCACACAAACGCACGCACGCACGCACGCACGCGCGCACGCACACCATTGTTGGTGCCACCGACCCCCTTGTGTCTTACCCTCATCTCTCGTTGTTGCGCTCCTCTTCTTGCACATTGCAGATTCAAACCGCGCCGCTGGTTCTCCTTCACGCACGCGCACACCATTGCGTCATGTTGATACTGTACCGCTTACCATCCTCGGTCTTACCATTTTATTTTGGTGCCCCTCTTTGTGTACATCAACAACATTCTTTACCGCGTGTTTGGTCTCTGCTTCAGTCGCTGTCGACCCTCATGTCGGGGCTGCAGACCAACGCCGCCGCTCGCGCGGACAGCCAGGCCGCGGCGGCCGGGGAGGCTTGGTCGAGATCCATCTCTGCGGCACGCTCTCTTGGGCCCGAGGTGGGTATGGTGTGGTGCTGCTGTACCTTCCGTTGGTTGCTGGGCTACACGCCTTTGGTGTTAGATGGGGGGACAGGCAAAAGAGGTGTAAATCGGCGTGTGTAGCGGTGGCCAAAATGTTTCGGAGTGTTTTTTTTTTTTAGGGTTTGGGATTAGGTATTGTAGCTGCTGTTCTTGTCCGGGTTCAATTCGTGTGTTGAGCCCAAATTTCCAACTGCACCCCGATGTTGACTACTGGGTCCTGCTGTATGTTGGGGAATGAAACTAGGTTTCCCAGAAGATGGGAGGCATCGCGGAGAGCCTTGCCAACGGGAGCGAGAGCGTGGCAAAGAAGCTGGCCCTGTCCTCGAGTGCCACCGGCAACAGCATCAAGGTGTGTTTGGTTACAGTGCAAGTCATGCTTTCGGGCAATGGGTGGGGCATGTTAACACGAAAAGGTCATGTGCAGAGTGACACTGCCAGCAGCATCCAGGTCTCAATGTTGTGCCCCTTTTTGAGGCAACCATATATATATATATGTTTGTTTGTTTTTTGCCAGTTATGCTCGAAGACCCCATCATCCTATCCTTTTTTTTTGTTTGTTTCTTGTATGAGTTGTGTTTTCTGCTTTTTCTGACAACGTTTTTTTTTTTGTGTTTCTCATTCCCTTTTTCAGGAGCGCCAATCTGCTGCCGCGGGCTTTGTCGCGTCTACCGCCGCCGTGTCCGACGTTTTCGCGGCGGGTGCTACCCAAGCTTCCGACCTCGCCGACGCCGCCAGCTCGTCCCTGAAGGTACCACAGATCGTACACCCGCCCATCAACAAGGAGAAGTTTTTTGTCCCCTGCTTTGCTTTGTTTTTTCGGTGTATTGATATGTTTGGTTGGGGATATGTGTTTGCTGCTATCGATCGGATGTCGTTGTTGTAATGACCGCAATTTTTGGTGTGTTTTCGGGGATGGATATGCTTGATTCGGGTACGTATGTGCATGATGCAGTCGACCGGGTGTTACCTTCTTTTCTCCCGTGTAGCGTAGGTTGTCTTTGTTAGGATCTCGACTCCTGTTGTACGAAGTATTGTACTGCGTGTGTGCAGGTTCCTCCAGGAGATGATTGTTTTTCCGCTCTCATGTTGATGGTCATGTTCTACACACGAATTTCCCTTCTCTGACTGATTCAAAGTGCCTCGATTCGGCTCGTCGTGTACATGTGTGTGTTCCTTCAGGAGACAATTTATTCCCCGCTCTCGTATCGATTATCGTGTTTTTCCGAGTTTCCTGCTGACTGGTTGTGGGTGCCTGCCTACCCTCGATCGCCTCGTCTTGTGCGTGTGTGTGTTTGCTCCGCAGGAGATGGTTGCTCTGTTCCACTATCATGTTATCCAGTCGTCGTGTCTATGAGATTCCTGCTGGCTGATTCGGGGTGCCTGACCTCAACGCCTTGGCGTTTGCGGCGTGGCGTTTGTTTGTTTGGGCTGCAGGAGAATATGGCGGCAGTGTCGGGGGCCGTCGCGAGCACCGCCGAGGGCTGCAAGGCCGCCACGGAGAGCCTGAGGCTAGGAAACGGCGAAGCGGTCGAGCGTGTTGCATCACTCGCCTCGTCGGCGGACCGGGAGGCCGCCGGCCTTGCCCAGGAGGGAGGGCAACAGGTGAATGAACTGCAGTCGGCGATCCTCAATAACGGTACCCTCAATATTAGCCGAATGCCCTCTACAGCGTCACCGAAGTCGCTTGGCACAATGCATGCAAGCGGCACTGCCCTCTACAGCGGCACCAGACCCTCTTGTCACTACCTACCTCTTTTGAAGACCGCCGACTGTACGTGGATTGCGTAAGATTGCACCCCCTCTACCCCTAACCATAACCCAATCCAATCCAATCCAATCCCTGAAACGTGCAAGAGTACAGTTGGCGTAAGGTGCCACCAGCCCCCATGGACTGCATTTTCTTACTTGTACTTGACAATCAAAGAGGGTGCCAAATTACAGAGGGGGTCCCTGTTTAATGCCGGCATATGCCCAGGATATTCACCGGCAATATTCAAACTACTGACAATGGGTGGGAAATACAGTTTGTGCCCGCCGAAAACACCGGCACTGTACCAGGCATTGGCACGATTCAACCGGCACTAGACAGGGACCCCCTCTGCATTCGCTCTCGCCCAGGGGGGAGGGGAAGAGTTGCGCTTTGATATTTCGGCAGGTTCCCGAAGATATCTATCATCCACCAACCTGAATGGCGTGGAACATGCTCGGCTGACGGAGGTGGAAGTGTTTGGGTGGCGCTACAGTATACACCATGAGTTACCAAAAGACGTGTTGACACACACATCAATAGGCTGCCATCATCGAACCAAAACGCACTATGCTTAGAGTTGCCGTCACCAGCAAATGCACCTGAGGACGATCCTGCAGAACTTGTCATGTATCTCCGTGGAAGGAAATGTTTGGGTTGCGTTCCAGCAGTTGACTTATTGCGTGGACACGCCCATATTCTGACTTCGACGAACCTATCGTGTACCATTCGACGGCCGACAGGTTGGGGTCCTCACCGCATGCGTGGAAGGCCTCGAGTCCGACCACACTTCTTCCCTCGGGCAGTGCGTGTTGCACATCGAGGACCACGTGGAGGAGGCGTGCGCTGTCCGAGACCCGTCGGGAGGAACTCCCGGAAAGAAGTCTTACCCTCGCCCGGAGACATTCAGGTACAAACGGCACATGCGTGTGTGTCCTCATGCAAACGCGTGCGGTACTGTAATTGTTAGACCATTGACCTCGCATGTGGGGGGTGGGTGGTACTCATAGTCGTCCGTGCCGTGGTCGTTAGGCAATTGACCTCGCATGTGTGTGCGGGGAAGGGGGGGGGGGTTAGGTAACCCGAATCGTTCAGGGTCTTTGTCGCACCGGGTGGGTTTTTCGTCCGGAATTGTCGAAGAGAAAACGAAGATTTTGTCACATGTTTGGTGCGGGAAAGGGCGTATGCGGCCATGCCACGGTTAGGCAGGAACTGCTGCTGTATGCTGAATCGGGCGTAGGTTCTTGTTCAAGGAGGTTGTACTAGGTTGGAATCGGCCTCGTGGCTCTGAGCAGGGTTGTGTGATTTTTTTTTTTTTCTATCGAGCCTCAGCTGATCCGTCCTCTTTGCTGGGTTGAGGGAGGTTAGAGTAACTTGGTATCGGCCTTTTCCTTAGCTTTTTTTGAGTTTTTTTCTCGAGTCTCTAGAGCCGATCCGTCCCTTTTTCTCGCCCCCGTCCCCTTCCGATGTACACATGTCGCCCGCAGCACCACTCGGCCGCACGAAGAGATCATGTCGGAGATTCGCGGCGGAAACCTGGAGGAGTTATTCGCGTCGTCCGAGGTGCCGCAGGGAACAGGGACGACGGTTTCGTTCTCCGATTCTGCGTCCACGGTACCGTCGACCCACGAGGAAGAAGAGAATGAGGGAGAGGGACAGCAGACGACTGGCGACCTTGAACAGGTGGGTGGAGACCGGGTTGTGTCGCTAGGTGGGGAGCTTGAGGAGGGGGTGAGGGTGGTGTCCTTTCCACGAACCTCGACGACCTCATTCAGCGAGACGTTTGGGCGTCGTGACTGCTGGTGTTGGTGCCGGGGGGGGGGGTTAGGATCGTATGTGAGCTACTGTTGCACTACTGTTAAGGGGTGCGTGCGTGTTATCTTTCTGAGATGCTTGCTTCCCTCGAACTTGATGATCAAAACCGCTAGATACGCAAGCACTTGCGGTGTTCTGTTTCGGAGGTGAACGGACGGGCTTCGCGCAATAAGTTGACCCGCGTGTGACCGAGACACGCCCTTTCGTTGAAAGCGTCCACCTGCCACCCTGCCACACATGCTTGTATCTAACGACGGGCGTATGTATCTGTTGCTGCTTCTCTTTCCAACAGGACGACGCCCAAGACACCACCGTCCCGGCCGAACTCGCAAACACCACCGCTGCTACTGCTGCTGCAGATGCTACCTCCACCGATCAGGACACCGGAGACGAAGGCGGTGCCGCCTCCCCCGGTGCCGAAAACCGCTCGGTCAAAGAACTCGCCGGCGGGGTGACCAACCCCACCGTCGAGGGATGCACCACCGGCGTCGTCGTCGACTTGAAGTCGATGACGGAAGGACGCGGTTCGAGGATAGCAGCGCGGACGTCGGCCTCAAGCGGAAGAGGCTCCGTCGGGGAAGGTTCTTCGGCAGGGGGAGAGGGGGGCGGGGCGGAGGCGCCCAGCCCTCCACTTGGCGAGGCAACCAACACCTCGAGCAAGGCTCCCCGAAGTAAGATCCCGACCGTGAGACGTGCGACACGTAGCACGCGAGGGTCTGTCTAAGGTCTAAGTTGGGGGGGGGGGGTGTATATCTCCACCCTGCTGGTTTTTAGATTTGTTTTTTGTTGTTGCGGTGAAGAGTGGAGAGTCTTGTGGTTTCTCTCTCTCTCTCTCTCTCTCTCTCTCTCTCTCTCTCTCTCTCTCTCTCTCNCGAAGAAAAGCCAATACTTCGAAGCATATAATATGCATGAACAGACATGCAGAGCGTATAAGCTCTCTTTATCTACTCTCTCTCTCTCTCTCTCTCTCTCTCTCTCTCTCTCTCTCTCTCTCAGGGTGGGGGGGTGCTCTGTCTAATGTTTTGAGAGATTGGATGAGGGACTCGCCCACATCAGGGCGTATTCTTTTCTTTTTGTCTCTGGTCGGCTGGCTGATTGCTGCTGTTGTTGCTGTGGCGCTCATCCATCCATTTCGTGATTCTGGTTCCATCGCTGTCGCGCACACGCTCCTGGTTGGGGTCTTACTGGAAAGTTGTGTGCTTTGGTGGAGAGATTTTTTTGGACGGGACAGGGTAGGTCACGCTGTTGCTTTTTGTGTTCTTGTTTCTGTGGTCTTGGCGGAAGAAATTGATTGTCGGAGGTCCCTCCTCTTCAAAATTGCGGTGGAACAAACTGCCCAACGGAACACGGCGATTGCAGTCAAGAATCTATGAAGGTGTTGACCGGATGAGATTTTGCAGCAGATTGCGGTCAAGAATCTACGAAGGTGTTGACCGGGTGAGATATTGCAGCACGTGGTTATTCAGCGGCAAGGCATTCTGGCTCCTGTTTTGATGCACGGGTGCTTTGTCTCATCTGCTTGTGGGGCACACGCGCTATTCGGGGCGAAAGGGTACCAGCTATTTTCTACCAAGTTTGTACTCATTCCATGGAACATGGTGGATATTGTTGATGGAGAGGGCGAGTGAGATCCTTGCAGGAGCTAGCCCATCCAATGTAGAACTTGTCTGCTTTTGATTTCAGGGGTCTCAGCGGTTGGTTAGGTGTGCGGTTTCTTGTGAAGATATCGTGGATGGGGGGGACTCAGCCATCGCATGGCTGACACCTTAGTACCAGGGTAAACGAGTTTTTCTTTTTTGATATTTGTCCCAATCGTCGTCTTGCTTTTGTTGGAGCGATGGAATTAGGGGTTGGTTGCTGGTAAGTGTAAGGAGTACGGGGGTTGAGAGGAGGGTTGAAGGATGCGGCTTAATTGTGTCGGGCAGCCTGATAGGCTCAGCTTGCATCGTACAGGAAGCCTTCGAGGTACGGTACATAACTCCGCTTGTCTGTGCCACTTGTGTAACGGGAATATTGAAGAGTTAGAATCGGAGAGTCGTAAATATATGGGTTTGTTGGTGAAAATGGCGAGAGTTTAAGATGAAACACCGTTTTTCTAGAGTGGTCGTTGGACGTCCATAGCACAGAAAAATTCAGACATCGTTATGGATATGCATATTCTACTTCTATCTCGAACGTTGATGTTTCTCCGAATTTGAATAGCCTTGAGAAGGTTCGGAGACTCATTTCTTCTTCATTTTTTTTTTTTTGCCTACCGCCGTTTCGGCGTTTTGTGGGTGGTGAGGAGATGCACCAAGCGGGGCATAAAAGATCGGCCGTTCTCGTTCGACTGATGCACATGATTCCTCGTTTCTCGGGCGCGAGAGCCTCGCGTCACACACGGCACACGGTCCTTCAGACGTTGTTCGGATTCGTAACTGGGCGGCGCGCAATGGACGAGTTTCCCTCTAGAGAAGACACATCGATCGGCTTGGTGCCCCGACAGCGGGTGATGATGCGTATTGCGAAACCGTGAACAACAGCAGTAGTCTGATCTGGGCGCCAATCTGTATCCTCAAGTGTGATGTTTGACTCCATGGAAGGTGGCATACTAATAGCGTAGCTGCGCTAGACATGCCTTCCATAGGTTTTGACTTGCTCGTCAGCCGTGGAGTACAGAAAATATTTGTTCTTTATGTGATGTTGCGCCTTCCGCGTGGAGTGAGGGGGCAACGAATTCGCCCCAAGAATAACTGTGCCGGCCACCTGTGTTTTCGGTTCAGGTCTTGTGTTGACATCCGTTTGTTCGCTAGTTTCCTCCACGAAAACTGGCCCTGTGGCTTCGAGACCCAGCAGCCTCCATGTAATTTCATCATTGGGTGTAGGTATCTCTCTCTCTCTCTCTCTCTCTCTCTCTCTCTCTCTCTCTCTCTCTCTC